AATTTTAATAAACATAAAAAAAATTATATATTAAAAAAATAACAATATTCAATTTTAAATTGTTTTATTAGTGGCACATATTCAGATGTAAGACATCCGTACACATCACACTTTCCGTCCTCAAACAGAGGTCCGTGGCAAAGCAATCAAATTCATCCGTCTCCATCCCCGATACCAAACGCGCAGCAAAAACAAATGATCGAAATAGAGAAAATTGTTATTAGTACAATAACACCTCCTTGTGATGTAAGTTTATTTTGTAATTTTTACCTTTATCACAGTACTGAAGCTATGTTATTATTTCAGACATCACACGAACAAAAAGATGTACCACTAAAAAGCGAAGAAATTGGGAGAATCACCCAGCATGGAGACAAACATATAGTGCATGAAAAGGAACTTAATCGAAGTAATGTTAAACAAAATTCACTGAAAAGTGAAGTTCCAAAATTTAGTCATATTCAAGCAAAGGAGCCTAAAGGTGTGTCGTTGATCCAATTATCTTCTCAAAATTTTATTACAAATTAATTTACGTGGATATTTTTCCTCGCACAGAACATAAAAGTGTAATAGTTATCAAAGATCACACCAGAGAGCACGGAAGAAATATCGTAATCGCGGAACATTTAAAACAAGCGAATGAAAATGAGGTTCTAAGACCCAGAGGAGCAGTCATATCATTGGCTTTAGGACTCACGATAACAGCTATTACCGCCACGTTAATAGCTTGTCGATTACGAGTAGTTCGAAGACGCGGAAGGCGGCACGGACCATATGCTCATGACGCAGATTATTTAGTAAATGGAATGTATCTTTAAGTAAGTACGAATTTCTTTAGTCAAAGAAATCAAGTTATATTTTCATACCATTTTAAAGGATAACGTAATAAAGAATGATCTACTTTAATATTTTGATTTTAATGAAAATTCAGAGAAAGTTTTTCAATTCGTATTTACTTGGTACCGAGGAAATATATTTCATTATTCTATATGCAGTATTATATTTTGTGTAAGCATAATTGTACTGAATTTGTGAGCGTACTGTTAAATTTATATATTTACAAGTAAAAAATGTTTCATAAAATAAACTTTCGCTTGAGTAAATTATATTTTTCAAACTGGTATTTTAATTTATGCAGAAATCTTCGTTCTAGAAAATGTTGACAATACAGAGTGAAATGTAAAATCACATGTTCTTGAATAGAATAAGTTCCAAGATAAACCGCAATAAAAAAAAGCTTCGCTTTATAATTTTGAAGAGGTTTCGGTCCATCAAATGGTTAACTTTGCGCAAGGAAATGCAATATATTTATAATTCATACAGCCTTGTTTAAGAAAAAGAGAACTACGAGTTTGTAACAAAATTATATTTATATATAACTTGTACAATCGTATAATACATATAAGTACATATATATGATTCTTGATAACAGAATTATTGTTTTCAAGATTATAATAATAACTAGCTATTCTATAAAATTGTTACTCTGTTTTTGTATCTTAATTATATCAAAAACTAGGTACCACAGTATTTCTTAGTAAATTTTAGATTATGATGATTATTAAGAGAAACAATTTTCATTTTATGTGAATGTATGTTTTTAGATGAGGAATACACATGTATGTACAGAAATTTGACTGATCTATACTATTGGATATAGTGCAAATATATAAAAATTGTTATTTCGTTACAACTGTATTATGTGCGTAAGATTTTCGGTACTTAATCATTTTATTTTTAAATGTTACAATATTACCAGTTCCATACACCCAATAACCCCTATAAAATGTTACGAAAAAAAATGGAAGCATTTAAATTTTTGACATTTCTTTTACCTAACTACTCAATGCTATTGACGGAATAAATTTACATTACAGTTTTATTAATAACGAATCCCTTATTTTATTAATATAAGCTTTCATGTTAAAAAATAGTGATCTGTTATTAAAAAACACAGTCTTATTTTGTTAAAAAATCAATTATTTTTAATGTACAACAAGTGAATACTAAACTCTTTTAGAGCAAATAGAATCATATTCAATTAAATTATACAAAAACTTTTTCTATAATATTTTCAGCGTATATTTCATTATTTGCATATATGAATAATTATCCTATTCAATTAATACTCCAATCACATCATATACAGGGTGTTCACGCTATTATTAGCCAACATTTTTCTCGTAAATGGTAAATACTAGAAAAAAAATGAAAGAAGGAAAAGTTTTGCAGTTTTCTATGACCAACATAACAGCTTATATCAATTTTTTATATTTGTAATATTTTTCAAGAAACGAAGGTGACCTTTAATTGTTTAAATGAATGCTGCACATGATTTTATGTTATATGAAAGCATGTACACATATTGATATATGTAAACACATTGATACGTAATATTCGAAATATTTCTTTCATATCTGACCTTGTGTGACCCTGACGGTCATTGCACAGTGCATAGATGAATTCGTCTTAATACACGCTTTCATATGACAAAAAATATGCAGCATTCAATTTAAAAAATTCAAGGTCAGCTTCGTTTCTCGAAAAATATGGCAAATATAAAAAATTAATATACGTTATTATGTTGGGCATAGAAAACTGCAAAACTTTTCCTTCTTTCATTTTTTTTCTAGTATTTATCTTTTATGAGAAAAACGCTGGCTAGTAATAGCGTGAGTACCCTGTACATATAAAACAGTTCTCTTTTTTCGAATATGAATATTATACAATCGCAAAAATTTGAAAAAATCTCTCGTATCTTCATAACACAAAAAACGCTATATGCAATTATTTAAAAAAACTATTTTGCAATTACTTTTTATTTGAAAAAAGTTAACAGAATAAAAATAATTTCATCATATGCAAAAATAGCAATCTGTACCATTACTGATATTGTAATGACAACAAGTGAAAATTGCGAGATGTTTATAAATGGGATTGTATGTTTGTTCAAAATGAAATAAAAAAATCATTTAATGATATTGAACATTGTATTGTTATTAGCAATTACTGCCGACCGGTAGCTGCCGCATTTTGCTGTGCTTGTATAAATTCAGGATAATCAATATACCCATCATTATTGATATCATCCATAGAAAGTATTGGATCTATTAAAGTAACCAACTCCTGATCCTTGAACAATTTTTCTGTAGGATTGGGCCCAGTAACCTCATTGTTTCTTTGTTCTGAATATAAAGGGTTCATTACATCTATACTTCTTGCTAAGTTTTATTCTACTTGATAATTAAAAAATTACTATACATACCATGCCAGTGAATCAAGGATTTTATAAGCTCACAACCATCTAATTTATCATTGTTATCTGCATCGTGCATTTTGAAATAATGAAACTGCAATTCCTGGTCTGTCATTTTACTAGTATCTATTGGAACCTCCATATGCTCTGCTATATGTCTGAAAAAAATTTCCTAATAACTACAAATCTTAAATGCTTAATGTTTGTGAGTTTAGATTAATGTAACATACACTTTTTCATTAACTATATTGGCAGCATTAAGTAATGGTTGTGAATGATCATGTGCATGCCCTTGTTGAACTGGTACCTGATGAGTTGACATATGCTGCTGTTGTACAGGTACTTGTTGAACTGGAACTTGTTGATTTGGAACTTGTTGCATAGGTACCTGTCCTGGTACTTGTTGGTACTTTATAAGTTTTAACATAAAAATATAGAATTATTTTATAAATAGTTCAAACTTGACTCAAATATGCATTACATATGTTCTAATGTAGGATTTACTTGTTATATTATGAACCATATTTATTAATGATTAAGAGATACTAAATCTCTGATATTACTGCATGAATCTACCTGTTGTTGTGGTATTTGTTGTGGTACTTGATGTATTGGCTGAACAGGCTAAAACAAATTAAGTACACTGATTTATGAATGAAACAATGATGAAAAAGATTGTTTTCAAGGCTTTTTAAAGGCATTATATCAATATTCCCTAATAATGATGAATGATAAACTGAAGAACTTCAAGTTAGGCATCAACACAACAGCAACCATATGTTTAATTGCCATCAGAGGAAAACTTACTTGTTGATAATGTTGAGGTGATACACCTGGTGGAACTCTTTGTTGCTGAGCGTGTATATATTTACAACAAAAAGATCCAATTATAAAAAGCCACAAAGTCCAATTCATTTTGAAATATTCTGCAACAAATTCACACGCGTAATTATATATTCAAAAATCTATTAAAGAAATAATACGCGCGTATTATCATACCTGTCAGTACTGTGTTATATTATGGATTACAAAAACAACGAAAAGTGAATAAAATCTTTGAAAAATACCTTATTTATGTTACGGGATGTATACAAAAATTAACATATACGCAAATATCTTGTTCATTGACAAGACTGAATACCGGATCACAGATTTGAGGTTATGTTACAAAGTCACATAGACTGACGTGGACAAATATTGCAGGTGTTACTTTCAATGATATTTCGAACTAGGGGTTAAAAAGTGCAACGACAGATATCTATGGGATTATTTATTACTAAACTTTCTTCACTGTAATTTATATTAATTTGAAATAAACAGAATTTTAAAAACAAATGAGGTAATTTCAATTCTTGATCTTATAATGCTATCATAAATTAAACTAGTTTCAATGGATGAAACTTTATTTGAAGATTTGAGAGACCCTAGATGAAATACCTTCGTTAAAATAAGTATAATCAAATATATATCGACTAGTTTTAGCTAATCAAGAATTTGTTAAATATTTGTACTTTAAGAATAATTACATGGTTAGAAATTATTGTATAATTATTCAAGATGAAATTGCCTTTAAGTTATTATTTTAAAATGCGTTAACCAATCACTTTGCACTGAAAGCTAATGCGCTTATGAATTAAAATGCATTTTTGTTACATGCATTAGTTTATAAAATTTCTTTTATTTGCAACATTTGTTAAAATCTGTTGCTTTCTGAACAGAATTTTTTAACTTTTGAGAAACATTGAAGTATTTACGAATGGGTGTTGAAGTACTTGCTAATCATTTAAGTTAAATTGACTTTTTCAATATAAATGTTGGTTATGCAGATATACAGGAAAAGCTAAAATCAAAATCTTTACAAAAATATATTCGTTATTTCTCTTCAAAATATAACATAAAGTAGATGTTGTTCTGTTTTTAATCAATGACTTCAACCCGCCATTGGGAGGTTCGTACTTTCACAATGGCGGAAATCTATTGCTTCATTCGATGCGAAATTAGCGATACTATTGTATTACTTTGAAAAAGCGTTAAATATTTATTTTGGCATTAAGTTTAGAAAAGAAAAACATTATCAACAAGTTATTCATAAGTCGAAAGATTTAAAGAGATTTAATCGTGTTGACGGTACGTATGAAAACTACGCGTTTCTCGTTGAGTTTAATACTAATTCTTGTGTTGTGTATAACTTTAAGAACTGCAAATTTTATTCCATGTATCTTTAACTCCTTTCATGTTATTACTTTTACTGAAATAAATATATTAGTACATGAAATATTGTGTCTTTAATAACTCATAATTTGTCATGTATTTGTATCATATTATTGATTTTGAATGTTTATCTCTTAAGTAATTAAGTTTTTTAATTTTGAACATCTAGAAAGTGTATGTTTTATTGTTTTTGCTGTTTCTATAAGAGAAATTAATTGCTGTAGAGCATTATTAAAATGTAAAGAATATGCAACATAGCTTTGCAACATAGAATTTCAACTATATTTCTTTCATTTTTTTCTAATTAAAAAAAGTTTTTTTTATATTTTTCATTTTTTAGAAGATTAAATAATAAATGGAAAATGCCTCAGATACCAAAATACCGAAAAGTGAAAAGAGCACAGAAGAGTGTGCTTGTCAAAAGGAGACATTTTTTAAGAAGTTACCCTGAAATTAAATCTTATAAACCATGTAAGTTTTTAATTATTTTTGTAATAAATCATATGTAATAACATAATTTATGATAAGATTCTCAAAAATTTGAAACCAAGATCAAACTTTAATTGTTACAGTATGTAAAAAATTACAAAGTAACAACAATTCATTAGCAAAGGCATTGTCTACAGAAAAACAGGAGAGTCAATTGTTATTTTCCCAAAATGTTGCTTTAATTGCAGAGGTACAAGATCTAGGTTTAGCTTGTAATAAACGTGATGTAAGTGAAGCTTCCACAAGTGTAAGAAAATGCATCATCTGTTCAATAAAATCAATTTTATACAAATATTTATTTCAGGCTGTAATATTAAATATCCTAAAGAATGCTAAGGAAATGCTTAAAATGTTAGTAACAATGACTGGTTTCTTAACAAACACAATTTCATCATGTCAAGAATTTGCAGAATTTGGCAAAAATCTACGGATGTCTGGAAATTCTGGTGGAAATAAGATTTTATGCATATTATTTTTTACACCATACATATGTATTTGTGAACACAAGTTTCTACTAAAGAAAATCATTTTAGGAAAGGACTCGTATAGAAGACTGTCAACAAAATCTCCAACCAGAGGAGTGGTGAAGCCCATGGTGAGCGGTCACACCATTACAAAACCCACCATTAATTTAAGTAGAGTAAATATGCAACATATTAATAATTCATCAAACTTAAGTATAATACCAGAGGTAATAACACCCCCTAGAAATCGGGAATTAAACACTTCAAGGTCTCCTAATATGGTTACTATGAGACAACATAGATATGTAAGTACTTCTTTAATCTCTTTAAGTAACTATGCTTAGGAAAGTCAAGATTACTACGTTTGAACGAATGAAATGTTATAGGAAAATGGGCGCACATGTAGAATGCCTGAAAGACTGACTGCTGCTTCACCTAGAAATAGCGGTATGTCCTTTCGTTGTGACCAGCAACATTAATATATACCAAATAAATTAAGCATGTATTTTTAATGTACATTTTCAGATGAAAACGAACGGAGATTGAGCGGTAGAAGTCGTAGACATTCTGGAAAAACATCAGGAAGGCTGTCAAAGTTAAAATCAAGAGTGGTGAAAAGTAACGTCCCTCGAAATAGTATCGAAAATTACGAACATATAGGAAGTCCAACAGTGAAACTTAACGATGTATCGAAATTATTGCAAAATTCTCAAAGCATTAACATTCGAATGGTTTGTAGTGCTAGTAATTTGTTTTTCCATGCGCAAGATTTATTTTTATATTCTTAAATTTTAATTGCTTTCTACAGTTAACAGAGAATCAAAATAATCAAGAGACTGATAACCTAGAAAATAGTGATGATGTGAATCAAGAAAATCCTGAGGCAAATGTCATATCAGAAATATCATCTTCTGACAGTACCCCAGACAAATCTATCGAAGATAAAAACAAACAAGTCAATAATAAGTTAGATAGTACGAATGGACAAGAAGACGCAAACGTTAATCAAACTAAAAATCGTACATCAAATTGGGAAGATCCTTTGGAAGGACCAAGTTGGTTATTCAATAACTCTCAAATCGTGCCTTCTTTCACAAATAAAAACAAGAAAGCTGATGATGTAAGTGTTTCTGATGACGATACTATGAGCATGACATTAAAAATGTCAGAATCGAGCGATGAAAAAAGTATGCCGCAAACATTATCACTGCCAATATCCAGAAAACGCGCAAATCACGCGAACAATTCTAAAAACGGTAAACAAACAAATGACAAGAATGGATGTAATATGCTTCAGCAGAATGAAAACAACGATAATTCTTGTAATACATCTACGGATGTGAACGAAACTCAATGTGAAGTCGATGATGAATCTAGGGTGAATTTGGCAAGTTTTATTACACAACGACGAGGTTGTTTGGAGAGCGAGGATGATGATGACTTCACCCTGATGGTTGCGCGACGACCATGTAACACGCATTTTGACATAAACGATTTAAAGCTACCTGTCCTAGAACAGTCTACGCTGAAACCAGTGACTCCAGCTGAACCAGAGCCTGAAATAACGACTACTCTCCGAAAGATATCGCAGATCTGTGTAATGCCTTCCGTTTCGAATAACAGCCTGGAGGAGTCTGCGTTTAATCGGTCTACGGTGAACTTGCCTCTGCTCGTGAACGATTACGAGGATAAAGACTTGTCGTTAAGAAATAAGACAAAATTCGAGCAGCGGAAGAAAAAAAAAAGGAAGGCAGCTATAAGAGAATCCATTGATTTTATTGAGGGTACACCACCGCATAGCAAGAAGAATAATCAGAAAAAGAAGAAAGATAAGGTCGTGAAGGACCCAAGTGCCGTTAAGGTAGTATTGGAGAAGCTAAATGAATGTGACGTTAAATCTAGAACACCTTCCCCTAATGATATAATTTCTCTTGGTTCCAATCAATCTTTGTAAGTATAAAAAAATTAAAATCGATTGATACATTGAATATTTGCAACTATGACTTGAGTGTTTGCTTACAGAAGCCCTGTATCGCTGCGCGTAGACAACACGAGCGACTCTGAGAGTAATACAAGTACAAATAGCTTACATACATTAAATCGTCCTAGACGAAAAAGAGCTGTAATCAATCTTCGAGAACCTAGTTTGATAAAGTGAGTAATTCATTTTTTTTTCGTTTCTATAAGTATATTGTACACAATTGTCTTAAATTATCCTTGGTTTTTGTTGCAGGAAATTACGAAGGAATCGTTAATCATGCGCACGACATTCGTCGATACACGAGAAACGATTGATGAAAAAAAAAAACACAATAATGTGTTTCTGAATCACATCGATGTTCACTTCGAAATGATGTAAATAAATGACCGAAGAGTACGATAAATTTCGTTGAATAGTCTCTGAAGAAGATAGGAATTAAATTAATTTAATTAAACGTGAATAACCAAGTTGACAATTTGAACCGTTCCGCTTCCATTGTTACGCACATTTCTTTTTGTTAAATCAGCAGTTGTTAATTATTTACAAAAGATCAGCATGTCTTAACATAGTTATAGCTTCGATGATTTGGCTTCCTCTCGTAGTATTGTTCGTATGTTGTACTTTTTGTACCCTTATCTAACGTTGCGATGAATAAACAAAAATTTAAGAACGCTTCGTTTTTCTTTCTTCTACCAATCCATATGCGAACTGTATTGAAATATCGTTTCACTTGTAACTGAATTTTATCGATAATTGAAATCTCGAAACATCGATATAAATCGTTAGTAATTTAAATGCGGTCGTTCTGGTAAGACGTAATGAAATCGCGAGTGTTAAAATTACATGTTTTCCTGGGAATTCTTATTCTCCAAGACAGTAACTATTTGTTGCATATAGATAAATATATGCAACTTCTTACTAAAGTTCTTAAAACGTTGAATAGCAAATAACGTCGATAGATTATTTATTAAAATAGTAATACCCTAAAATCCAATATGGATGATAGAATTATGTAGCCCTTTAGGAACCATATTTTTGAATTCCAGTGATATATTACGTATTGAATTGCAGCGTATCGTAAAATATTATAAAATCATGACATATGTTATACGGTGATCAATAAAACGGAAAATGTCGCGGTTTTTGAGACATTCAACGATCGGTGAAACGATTTAAAAACGATCGATCTTATTGGCCGCGTTCAGAGAGGTCGCTCTGGTGCATAAATAAAAAAGCTAGGACCCGAGCAAGTAGTGTTATGTATAATGGATTTAACCTTCCCCATCCCTGGTTGACATGCCTATACAGTGGCCAGCGTAGAGGCGGAAATTAATTATGTTTGTTTAATTTCCAGTTGAAAAAAGTAGCTGGCATTGCCTCGCCCATATAGATAGGCGACCAATGCTTGATTCTATTCTATAGTTCGGTTTAACGAAACCCCATGAAAGGCGATTGAATAAACAGAAATGGCGAATACGAAGGTACGCAAAATAGGTAACTATGTATTTTTAATGAGTCAAAAAATTAAAAAAGTTGATATTCAGCTCGAATAAAATGACAGTTCATACTTGTGGCGAATTAAATGCTTTTATCAATGTTAAAAAATTTAAACAATTTTTAATTATTTTTAACGGAAAAAAAATATTTTATTTTGTTAAGATTTTACTTCACGTTAACAAATGTTCGTAACGATGAGAAAAAGATTACCATTTCGAGAATTGTAATAATACCACGTGACATAATTGCCGCTAATTTAATTGAACCGCTACCTGGTGGCAATCGTAAGGCGTGGGCGTACGCACGCGGAACTTTCTGTTGCTAAAAGTCTAAAGTTGAGGTCAACGCTTAATTTGCATAGCCGATATAGCAGCGTGTTATAAAGTTGTTTTCGTAGTCGTAGTTTCATGTTTGTGATTCTATAACGTGCCAAGAAATAAAAAGAAAAATAGTTGCCCTAGAGAAAGATACACTTACGATAACCTTTGTTACGTATATTAAATAAAATAACTCAACAATGTTTTACACATTAAAGCAAGGTTTATTTCTTCCTTGCGTGATGTATTTGTTGCTTGTTTGAAATGAAGTACAGAACGAAATAAATAAGGCAATTAATGATTAATAGGGATATTATTTGAGTTTCAGCAGATTTCTAATTGGTAAACAAATTACCTGAGGATTAACGAGAGATTAGGCACGCATGAAAGTAAAAACTATACCTGTACTGACGACCCTATCGGCTAACAATTCAAACAGTAGAAGCTCTTGTGTTTGCATTTTCGTAAACAACTGACCTGGAAGGGTCGCAGATAATAGGAAGACCTATCCCTAGTAAATTAAAATGACATTTAACGGGAAATGAGTAAACCGTTCAAGCTGAAAGAGGTTATTTATCATTCAATTTATGATCCTTTTTGGGATAAAAAAACAACTAGTAAACATGATGCAACGTATATTGTTTTGCAAAGATTTTAATATGCGTGTACGGGAAGCTGCATATTTGAAAAATATATATGAACGTCGAACTCGAGTTGTAGAATTCCAATGAATTAGCATCAATTAAGATTGCGGAACGTTTTGCTCAAGATATGAACAGTCAATTACAAGCGTTATGCGGTGAATGCGAGATATCGCGAAACAATCGCGGTTGGTGTATTGACTTGTATACCCGTTGATACTGGTTTATGTAAAGGATGTTAGCATTAACGCGTTCGTACATGCAAATATAATTACACGTGGTTGGAGCATTAATGCGTAAAACAATAGCGTTACCGATGTTTCAATAAATCTCCGTCAAACATTTTAAAAAGTAGCAGTTTTTACCCTAAATAAATTTCCACCGTTTAAAAAATAAAAGGAGCATTATAAATCCATGCGCAATGCGTGCAACGCGTGCAAGTCTCGCAACGCTGCCAGCGAGAAAAACACCCACTCGCGTGGGAGTGGAATAGTAAACTTCGTGACAGAAAAAGAAGAACACAGCGTACTAACTGAAGCCAGTACTATTTAGAACGTACACCGAATCCTCCGCCTATGAGGCATATAAGAACGATATCTTCGCGGTTCGATAGCGGTCGCATTATTTATGCAACATGGCATAGAGCACCGCTATTATCGGCCCTCGAAAATAACGCGAATTTCAACGGGTAAAAGTCGCGTCTTTAACGCGCGTACCGGTGTTCAAACTCTCCCTCCACATGAGCTACAGCGCGCCGCCGCGCATGCCTGAGCCATTTCCTAGTAGCGCCGATTGCTCGGCCAATGGAGTACGGCATGTGACGCCACCTCCAGCCAATCAACTGCCGTGGCGGTGACGACCGTGCTATTTTTAGCGGACGTGAGTCACGGGATATAAGGCTGTAAGTTTAGTTGGGTGTTCACAAGTTGTCGAGACATCGTGTTGTAAGGTCGAACGAGATCCGCGTTCGATGGTATACATTGCAGACCATTCTAGAGGTGCACACGCGCAGAACATCACGTTCGTCGGATTGCGTGTCGTGAGTCATTGTTGTGTTGACAGTTGAACCAGATCGGTCCTCGTGTCACCGTTGGCAGCTGAGAAACAGATAGACGGGTGGACGCATCTGTACGCGACGCGTTTGCGAGACGCGTAGTAACCAGTGGTGGACGAAACTACGCAGCTTTTTGCGTCTCAGCTAACCAAGCTGATATATCGCTGGACGGTAAAATTCGTGGTGAGTGTTGCGTATACACCAAGTGGTGCGCGAACGTAATTCTGTGTACAGATCGAAGACTGGCATCTGGTGACGGGTGGCCGTGGCGAGCGCGATAAAAACGCAGCTTAAGCGTCGATGAATTTCTCGATACACAGCCGTCGGACGGTTATGTAACAACCAGTGAAAAACCAGACACACGGGGAGAGTGCTCGGCGTAAAAAACGGACGCGTCAGTGAATAAACAGAGACAGATATAGAGTCGGGTGGGCGATCGATCGTAATCGAACCGAACCGAACCGATCGCGCTTTTCCATTGATTGTGTTGTGTTGTGCGCGGCGAGCGACGGGCAGCAGTACACTCTGCTCCAGTCGCGCGAAAGACACGAGAGCCCGTGTGAACTTTCGATTGGCACGCAGTCAGTCCCGCGGCATCGATGGTGCGCAGTTCGACAATGGAGCAGACGTTCTACGAGGACGCGAGCGTCTACGGCGCCGTGAATCGCGAGAACAACGTGGGCCAGCTGAAGCGTAACCTCACGCTGGACCTGAACGGATGTCAGAGGCAGGGTCCTCAAGCGAGGAGGCCGCGACTGGCGCCCCTACCACCTGCGTTAAACAACGTCGCGCCGTTATTGAGTTCACCAGACCTGAACATGTTGAAACTGGGTTCGCCAGAATTGGAGAAATTCATTATCGCCCAGCAGGACAGTATCGTGAATCTACCCACTCCCACGCAGATCCTGTTCCCAAAGGCGGTTACCGAGGCGCAGGAATTATACGCTCGCGGTTTCGTCGATGCTTTGAACGAGTTGCATCACTCGGACAGCTCGCAAGAACCCGGTAGCATTCATGGAGCCACGTATACCACTTTAGAGCCACCGAACAGCGTGCAGAGCACTGAATCGTCTGTGAGCCAGTGTCTGGTACAGATCAAGGACGAGCCCCAGACGGTACCTAGTGTGTCGAGTTCGCCGCCAATGTCCCCGATCGACATGGAGAACCAGGAGAGGATCAAACTGGAGAGGAAGCGTCAGAGGAACCGTGTGGCCGCGTCAAAGTGTCGCAGGCGCAAGCTCGAGCGGATCTCCAGGTTGGAGGACAAGGTCAAGCTGCTGAAGGGCGAGAACACCGAGCTGAGCGCAGTGGTGCACAGGCTGAAGGAGCACGTGTGCCGGCTGAAGGAGCAGGTGATGGACCACGTGCACTCCGGTTGCCAGATCATGGCTGTGTCGGGTCAGTTCTGAGCCGACGCTAACAGACGGGACGCTATGACGTATGTTGTTTCGTCTGACGGTGTATCTGATGTACGCGACCACGCTGCCCGGGGCAACAACGATCACGAGGACGACGTAACCTTCGGTTTCTCGTTCGATTCGTTGAATTCGGGAAATGAGGACACGGTGATGCTGATCGTGTGCGACGGCGTGAAAGAAGAGGAGGAGGAAGAAGAAGAAGATGGTGAAGAAAAGACGGAGGAGTGAGGAGGGAGTGCCTTGATGTGCCGCGAGATAAACGGAGAGATACATTCTTTTCGAAAAGGGACGAGATAATATTCATCTCTGTACATACACACGTCTCTCTCATTGCGTGTGCTGCTTGCTGCTTTCGGGTGTACGCGTTGCGTGCACGTCCGATTGCGGTAGTGAGGAGAAGGGTAGGCCATGAAGAGCGACACAGACG